GAAGGACCCTTCGCGCTGCTTCGTGCTCACTCCTCTACCGACACGTGCGGCGGCTGCAGGAGGGACGGCTCCGGCCGCAGCAGCAGCGCCGCTCAGCCCCCGGGGGCCTGCGGGACTGCCGGCCGGAGACGCCGTGGCCCTCGGCCGCCATGGCTGCCGGCGCGGAGGGGAGAGGAACGCGGGACCCGCGTGGCGCCGGGGCCGCTGAGCGCCGGCAGCGGGAGAAAGACGGGCTGGCCGAGCCTGTCGCGGAAAACCTCGTTTAGTTACGTAGATGGAGAAGGCTTCGCAGAGGAAGAGACTTAGAGCTGAGACTGAAAAGATGAGTAGACAGGAATATTAACGGAAGGGAGATGAGCAGCCTGTGGGCGCCCGGGGGCGGGAGGGCAGAGGGTGCCTCGGGAGGACAGAAAGATGTCCTGGAACCTGGAGCGGGGGGCGCGGGAGGCAAGAACACTCCATGCAAATCTGCGTGGGTTACAACACGGGGCGGGGGGGTTGCCAGTTGTGACTTTATCCTGAGCCTAATAGCATCATTGAAAATGTGGGGATGTGAGTGTGTTCACAGGGGAGTGTTACCAGGTCTGTGTTTTGTGAAGATGATTGTGACTGATCTACAGAAGATGGTCCCTCTGTTGGGAAGATTTAGAAAGGGTGTGGGTAGGCCACACAGGATGTCCTGGCAGTGCCCTCAGGGGAGATGATGAAAGTTTGGCTTCAGGGAACTCTAGTTCGAAAAGATACGTGCACCCCAATGTTCACAGCAGCGCTATTTACAATAGCCAAGACATGGAAGCAACCTACATGTCCATCGACAAATGATTGGGTAAAGAAGATGTGATAGATATATATATATACACATACACACGCATATTCACAATGGAATACTATTCAGCCATAAAAAAGACTGAAATAATGCTATCTGCTGCAACATGAATGATCCTGGAGATTATCATTCCAAGTACACTAAGCCAGAAAGAGAAAGAAAAATACTGTATGATATCACTTATATGTAGAACCTTAAGCATATACACACACAAATGAACTTATTTACAAAACAGAAGCAGACTCACAGACATAGAAAACACACTTATGGTTACCAGAGGAGAAAGGGATGGGAAGGGATAAGCTGGGAGTTCAAGATTTGCAGATACTGACTACTACATACAAAATAGATAAAGAAGTTTCTACTGCATAGCAGAGGGAACTAAATTCAGTATCTTGTAGTAATCGATATTGAAAAAGAACATGAAAAAATGTATGTATGTATATGTATGACTGAAACATGATGCTGTGCACCAGAAAGGGACTCAGCATTGTCAACTGTGCTTCAATTAAAAAAAAAAGAATGTTTGGATTCAGGTAGTGATGGTGGGAAAGGAAATTAAGAAAATCTAAGAAACAGACAAGATAAAATCGGAGACTTGGGGTCAGATTGGCCACAAGAGAAGCTATCAAAGATCACGGGCTACGTGTCTGAGTGGACGAGCAGTGTTGCCACGACTGAGAAAGGAGAAGCTCCGAGGTATCACAGGATGTCATTGAGGGGTTGGATAAATGATCACTCTTCACATTTCTTGACTTTCTGTGAGTCAGAAGTTGGGCTCTATTCAAGCTGAGCAAGTGTTCATCACGACTCTCTAATGGCCAAATGGAATTCTGCAATTCTGTTTCCTACAGCTCTAACTTCTACAAAGTGTATGGAGCACCAATCAGGCCTGCATTCCAGCCAGAGGACTCTTGCTCTGATGAGAACTGGAGGAGTGGCTGTTGGTGGTTTTATGTGTAAAGGCTGAGGGGCCAGTCACTGGGAATCTGCTATCAAAACTGCATCTCAAAACAATTAGTAGAATCTCGACATGCAATGTCACAGAACCTGGGGAGGAATTGCCAAACCTTATTGCACTGAATACCAACATCCAGGCCAAGGCAAACAGCATCTCATAGCGTGGTGCCCGGACCACAGCGCACCTCCAGCCACCCGGAGTCACCGCAGCCCGTGCCGCAGGTGGACGCCACTGCTTGTCATCCACCCAACCAGCAGCAAAGCCTCACAGGAGATACTCCAACTAAGACCGCGGTTATGTTGGGACCTGAGGTGCTTCTTAAAGCCAGCCTCAAAGTGTCTGAGCTGTAGGAGAATTACAGTAGAAGCAGTTAACTGGAATCCACCCAGAAGACATTTTTCCCTTTATTTCTGTTATCATAATTCTGAAGAAACTCTAGAAGAGCACAGAGGAATCCTTTCAAGTTTCTATTCATTATATAAGAGTTCACTTTAACATTATTTTTTGGAAAAATTCCTTAAATTTTTTTCAGGGTCTGTATCTGTCTGTCCGTCTGTCATCTATCTGCATGTCCTCACGTATACACATATGCAGGTGTACTACCCACTCTAAAATTCTTGATAACTATATATACTCATAGTAATATGTTATATTTTAAGTCTTATGTAAAATTCAACTATTTTAAGCAATAATAACTTTCAGTAACAGTAACACTAAACTCTTATACAAGCAATAATTTTTGACACGTTCGAAATACTACAAGCACATGGGAAAAACTGAATTTAACAAGTAGCAGCTTTCTGAGTGAACAAAGCAAATACCAGCTTGATGATCGGTTTGGGGAAACCCGTCAAAGAAACTCACAAGCAGTCTGCTCACACATGTATCAGGTGGTTAAGAAAAAAGGAATTTGTCAATCATCTTAAAAGCAAAACCTCCCACAATTTGCCATTTTGTTTCTCCATATTTTTCTTTCACTTTAGAAAAATTAGGATTCTTCCCTCATTGTAATTTGCCTTTAGACTAAAGCCAAGTGAAATGTGTGGTCCAAGAACTTAATCGGCCTCCACGAAGATGTAGAAAGCGCAGACGAAACGAGCACCAGGGAAGCGGTGACACCTCACAGTGACGTGCTGCTGGGCAAGGGGGGTCTGAGTCTGCTGTTGACCCACAGGGATGCGGGAGCTTGGCCTTGAAGGAATGCACGTCCTGTTTGGAAAGGGCGGTGAAGGACAGGCCAGGAGCGTCCAGCAGGGGGACTGGCCAGTCCTGACGTGGCGCCTGGTCCTGTGGTCGGGCGGGAAGGCGGTGTCAGTGATGATCCCGCGTGCTCGCTCTGCAGGGACAGCCACCTCTGAGCGAGCTCAGCACCCGAACTTCTCAGCCTCACGTCTTACACTGAAAAACACTGGCAACAGCACACAGAAGCTTTTCAGCTGGAACTCACTGAGCCTTGTCTGCCCAACACGGAGGAGAGCAGGGACTCTCCTACCCGCCGCAGGGAACGGTCACCTTGGAAAAACGCATTCCAGTCCTCCTATTCGGGATGACCTTGTAAGCCAGCTATACTTCAACTTTAAAAAACATTTATTACTTGCTAATTATACACAAAATGTGTTCATATTAGAAAATTGAAAAAGATATGGGGAAAACAGAAAGAAGGAAATGAAAATCACCCAAAATCCCATCTCCAGAAGTAGCCATGGGTCCATGTTGGTACATCTCCTTCCAATCTGATCTTACACACGATGCTTTCTTAATACACCTCAGATCACACCACACATAAATTCCCCTGCCTTTTTTCACTCACCTCTGTCTCATCGTGATTTTGCATGTTGTTAAAGATTATTCCAAACCATGAATGTGTGCGTCTGCCCCACGGCCAGCGGGCTGTGTGCACAGCAGTGTGTTTGGTGTGTCATGTGCTTGTAGGCATGGTTCCCATTTCCAATGTTCATGATCAGAAATACAATTTTTGGCTCTTCTAGAGACTTCTGAACCCAATGCCCTTAAAACCATTGTGTTAAGCACCCGTGCTTCAGTTCTAAGCCATAATAAATCACTCAACAGACAGAAAGAGAGCAGAACTTAAATATTTTGAAAATTAAAAAACAACTTTTGAAAAATAATTTGGGGAATGAAAAGACTACATCACATCAACCACTGCAGCTGGAAGGCGCACAGTTTCAAAGGCTTGGCCGTCATTCCCCAGGGAGCAGGGCGGTGGCAGGGAGAGTCCCAGTGCAGAGGAGACAGCCTGAGCTTCGCCATGAGGGTGGTGGCGACCTGTCCCCTATGATGTGTCTTCCCAAGAAGGGGCCGCTTCCTATCGGGAACAGGCATGGGTGTGGGTCCCACAAGCAGCTCTCGGGGTGACCTTCTGGGTTGTCACATCAACTGTCAGCGCTGCATGAAAGAGCCCCCGTTACAACAACGCCCGAATTGCAAGACAAAGATGATGTGCTGAGAAACGCTTATTCATAAGTGAGGTTGTCTTCACAGTCAAAGTAAAGTGGAAAAATAAATGAAACACTTGCCTAGAGAATTCAGATCAATATACAGACAGTAAACAATACATCTTTCCCGAAGGGAGGGTGGAGCGCGTGGTGGAGCACGTGGTGGGGCGCATGGTGGAGCGAGGTCCTGGGTTCAGCCCTCAATACCTCTTTTAAAAAATAATAATTTAAAAATTAAAAATACGTATTTTTTTAAAAAGAATGTATCTTTCGACAATTGGCCTCACTTCGGATTTAGCAAGTATTATTGTCAGTTGACTCTATTTTATGTCCGTCACGTGTGGAAAACTTGTCACAACCCTTTGCCTGAACGTTAGAATCTCGGACTGTGTGGTCACCTACTCTTTAATCCGTGGAGTAGCTAGTCCTTAGTGAGGTGTCTAAAACGTAGCACAAGCACTGTGTTACAGCCGTGGGATAGCCCTCGTGTGGCAGAGCTCAAAGCTGCTCGGCACAAGCCCCGCAGGTCCACTTCCCTCTGGTAGCTGGACCCAGACAGGGGCCGGGCGGACCGGCCGTGGGACTGAGCGGGCATCTGGGACGACCAGCGACCGGGGTTGGGGGGGGTCGCTGGTCTCTGCCTGCTTCCTGGTTTCTGCTGAGGTGGTGTCTGACAGGTTTTTCCGCCAGAAAGGCACCGTGTTCCCCTCGGTAATTCGTAGGCATGTCTCCTGAGACCAGGTGACGTCCTGTTCTCGTGCTTTGCCCGTTGAGTTCAGCGTCCGTTGGCGCGTCTTGCTGGGACGGTGGTTGCCGTGAGGTTTGTGAGGCGGCAGTGCCCCCGTCTCTGTCACCTCTAGTACTAACTAGAATTCTGCTGCAGGAGAGAGCCTTCTCCTCTCGTTTATCTGCTCATTCAGTTATTCACTTACACTCGTACGGACTGATGGGCTCTTTATTCTGTGGGCAGTTACCCATTATTATCGTTATTTATTTCATCGCTAGCATGGTCCCAGATTTGTCCAATTTGTTCCTGTGTTATTTTGACGTGTCCCCACCATTGTCTGAGCATTTCTGTCTCTTTTGCACCATGAAACGGTCCAGGCTCATCTTCTACCGTTTCTTCCCCGTCCTGGAATCAGCCATGTCTCCAAGGAGCTGCGACTCCTTTACTGCAGTAGAGCACTGCTACTTGCTCTCTGAAGGCAATGGAAAAACAAATTTAGAAACTCGCCTCAATTCTGAATCCATTCCACCTAAACCATGGTAAACATTCACGTATGACTTTCAGATTCTCTTTAGCGTTAGAATCAGAACAGCGCTCAGATCTGACTGACGGCAACTGGGTGGCAGACTTTTCGCGCCTCTGCCCCAGGGCCGTCACCCCCTCCCGGGAGCAGCTTTGCCTTACCCGCGCCGGCTGCCGCGGTAGTTAGGACGCGCGCTGCTCCACTCTGAGAAGGAACCGTCCTTCTCAGAAAAGCCTCGAGCTCACCCGCGGCCGGGGCTTCTCGCTCCACGTCCGACTGCACAGACTCGGGTTGGAAAAAGGACCAGAGCCACTGCGTGGGTCCTGCCACCTCAGGCTGCCCTGTCAGATGAAGCTCCTGTCACTCCCTCACCAGACACACTTGAGAGATAAAAACGAAGGGAGCTAAGACGGTGATGCTGATAAAAAATGAACGAAATACCTTGCCGGGCCTTGTCATCATCTGTGAAGCTCACAGACTCAGAGGCAGCTAAGGAGGCAGCTGAAGAAACGCTGGCCTCTGTGAGAAGCAAACGACAGCAAACGAGTAAGTAACAGGCACGCGGACGGCCTCGCACGAACCGCCGAGCGGCGCGGTTCAGGTCGTTTCGCCCTGGACTGTGGACTGAAAATCTGATTAAATTGTTAGCCAATGGAAGAACAACACATGTTACACGTTCTGTTAATAAGGAATATTCTTCTCTGGGGTGAGCAGCTCTCCACAGATATAAACACAGAATCTAAAATGTACTGTAGATGTTACCAGATGCAGAGTCTTAGGAAGCACGAAGCGAAGAATGAACGCTGCTGCACCAGGTAATTACTGTGCGTGTGCTTACGTGTCCTGCAAAGTTATCAAGTTTAGAAACAAAGGAGTTATTTTAAAAGAATAAATATTTAATTTATCTTATCCTTATATTTTAAACTTACAAGTCTTCTAAAAGATCAGAATATAGAAATGACCCCTGTGGGTGTGATAACAAGTAAGCGAGCATAGTTGAGCCTTTTTGTAAAAAAAAGTAAGTCAATAAATGTTTCCAGTTCTTATCCACAAACCACCCTTGAGGTAAGCGTTCTCTCCATGCTGGCAGACTTTCGGCAAACAATCATTTGGTCCTGAAATGATTGTTTCATTTTATGAAAATTGTGAATTTTCTTTAAGAAGCCACAATTTTCTCTTCCGCTGTAAATATTCACAGATGGATAGATAAATAAAAATAAATCTGGCCAGACAGAAGCTATTACCCATGGCAGAAAGTGGAAATGAGAAAACCCTGAGAGCAGAACCACGCTGCGCTTATCTAAGAAGTGGATATTTGGTTTATGTAAGATCATCAGTTTTTAGTGTATCCTGCTACATGCGAGGTACATGAAACAAAACATCATTATGAAATACAGGCTCATTTTCCTTATTTCCGTGCTGATGGTTTCGTCAGAGCAGTACAGCCCGGTTAAGACTGGAGAAGGGGCTGGACAGTGCTCACTCAGACCTGCCTCGGGTGACGCCCACCCCTCTTTCCTCACTGTCACAGGTCACAGGCACTCTTCTCCCTCAAGTTCTGAGCAGGACGCCATACGTGGGTTAACAACACCCCACAAACGTCACCTCAAACCATATTCCCTAGGGACGGCCTCTGTGATGGCACCACTTACTTCGATAATACTGATTTCTGGCCAGGAGGCAACCAATGGAAGGCACTGATGCCATTGCTACCCAGAGCAGGGGCCAGCCAGACGGCGACGAGCAGCCTAAGAAGCAGGGACGGGAAAGAGACGCTGAAATTAATCACATGGAGTTTCTTTCTCTTTTTCCATATGAGTATTTTTTGCAAAGCAACATGGTAAGGTAATAAAAATCTGATTCAGAGAACTGAAGTGTTGACACAGAACTGTAATCAGACACACTGCAGCAACAAAACACACAATGACTGCGTCATCTGCTTGGAAAAGCAAAAGACACAGATCCGTCTACTAACAGTGCCCACAAGTCACTGTGCCCGGAACAGACACAGAGGTGAGAGCAGCGTGAACACAGCCCGCCCACCGCTCACCTGCGTGCTTTCTCCAGTTCGTTCCTGACGGTAAACCTGGTTCTAAAGCATCCTCCAGCCACAGGCGCTGGCCGAGCTGACCGGCAGTGCCCGGGACAGGCTGGCTGCCCTGCGGGGACTGAGCGGGTCTGGACCCCAGCATACCTTCTGTCCGGAGGCCTGAAACCTGAGCTGGGAACAGGCACAGCTGGGCATGGGGCCACCCCAGGCGGGGTTGGACACCCTCTGCCTGCCTGCCCTTGACCGTGTCAACCTGCCCAGTGGGGCTTGGGTGCCGGGGTGGGGGCGGGCGCGGCCCAGACGTGGTATTGCCTTTTCAGGGACGGGGGTGAGAGCCATGGGTCCTCTCAGCATCGACAGGGCCACCGTGCCGAGTTCTGCGGGGGAACCACAGACTGGCTGCTGGCCAGCGGGGGCTGGACGTGATCACAGACATGGTGATGCGGCATATGGACAAATTTCTTCTCATACTGTTTTTCACCACAGGCTATGACAAGATATTGAATACAGTTCCCTGTGTTCTGCAGCAGGGCCTTGTTGTCTATTTTATATATAGTGGTTAGCAAAATTAGCTTTTAATTAATGATTTCTAAATCCACTCTATTGTTGAGAGAAAAGGTTTTGTTTTTATTCATTTTTGAAATAATCTTTGCAAGTGGCTCTCTGTGTGCTGAGAAGAGTAAAATTCTTTATCTCCTGCACACGTTGTTTCATGCGTCTGTGATCATGTTACTTAACTTTGTTAAACAGTAGCCTGCACGCGCACAACGCATCACCCTGTTCTACCTCCTTCTAGCAGGACCGCGTCACCTAATCCCACTCATTTCAGCCCCGCACACTCTGCATCTGTGCGCGTGGCGCGCAGACTCACCGCTGTCGGATCTTCTCGGAAGACCTTGGCTTTTACCTTCCTGCCAGCACTAAAGCTTTTCTTTTGCCCTAGGTTCTGGGTGGCCTAATGTGAGCATCAGAGCACTAGCTCTTTGCTAAGTGACCAGAAGGTGTGTGTCTCTTTGTATCTCTCTGTTTTCAACCAGCTGTTCTGTTTCAGAATTAAAACCAGAGACGCAATGAGCTTTACAGGCAGAGACACAAGATGCAATTTGAATCACCCAGTGGTGATTATCAAAGAGCACACATCAACCCAACACGTTGAAAGCATTAGCTTTTACACTATTTACTTGGAATACAAATTTTAAACTTGAGACTTACCCATAAAAGAAGAGAAAAGTTTTAACAGTGGTGTTTATCTTATGGTACTTTTCAATTTTTATGCCTAATTGACCATATAGTTTTCAAATACAGTGTTTTTTCACTTCCCATCTGTTTTTTTTCTCTCTCTCTCTTATGGAAATAAACTTTGTTGAATGTTTAGATGAACCATTAACTACTATCAGATGATCCAAAGCTCAAATGGATTTTGAACCCCAGCCCAGGGAAAGCAATCTATCTTGGTGAGTTTCATCACAAGATAGGAAGGGGGGAAATGTACTTTTGGCAGAATTTTCCCAAGCTGGTGCCAGAAGGCATAAGAAACTCGCTTGTATTGCAAATCCATTTTAACATCATAAAACAGTTTTATGTAATCGAGACCGGTAGTTCAAGGTAATTTATGAATCGTTAACTATGGAAAGGCACAAGCAATTAATGTTATGTGAGTCAAAGTGCTTTTCTAGAGCATTACGTTTCTATGTGTTTAAACACAGGCACTCAGTCACAAAACAAAAGACGTGTAGAATTACATGTGCTGATATGGCAGATGTTTGTAAAACAATAGTTTGACCTGCAATCTAAGGATGTTACTGCAATACCAGAAAAAAAAATCTGCTGAAAACAGAATTGCCTCACACACAGCACTGTCTTCTGCGTGTGCACCTGTGATGTGAACCCAAAGGAAGAATCTGGACTCCGTTCCCGAATCCACACTCACTTTAGATTATTGGTGAGTGGGTGCAGATGTTCTGACGTTTTCATAATTCCTGCCCAGGCCCCATTTCTGACCAGCCACCGCCCCTCGTCCACACTTTATTTAGGGCCAAACGTGTTTGTCTTTCCTTCTATTTTATCATCCCCGCCAGCCCCCAGCACCTGGACCTGGGGTCAGGTAGTAACTGCACCGGGGGAGTGAGGAGTCACAGTGGGACAGAGCAGGAGTCTGTGAAGCCTGCATGTCTTCACGCAACTCAGAGTGGGAGCGGCCGACGCTGGGCTCCTGGGCGTGTCTGGTTCTGAGGGGCCCTGGGAGCAGCTGTCCGGCAGCACCATCTCGACGACTGTGCGACGCAGTATTTCCAGCAGGGCGAGGGGTGGAGGGACACCCCTGAGGCTATCTGCTGTCCAGGGGGTGGGGATCATCACATCACCGGTGCTCAGAGTGAAGACCCCTTGTCAGGGGGTCTCAGCACGGAGCCCAGGGACCCACGGAGCAAGGAGGCTTCGGAAGTTAGATTCCTTCAAGGCTCTTTGTTACACTGAAACATGTATTTCTTTCCTGGCCCCTTCCCACACGATGAAAGCACAAAACTGTTCTAGCTGACGCAACTTTTCAGCTGCCCCGTGGTAGGTGGCATGCTGGCCGGAAAGCATCAAGCCGAGGGAAGGAAGGTGCTTCAGCCCCCGTCAGCCTAGGGCCCCCGTCAGACGAGGGCTCAGGCTGCTTTAAGCTCTAATTAAAACACGTTTCTCTGGGAACGTACGTCTAACCTGCTCGGTCAGGCTGACGAAATCCCTCCAGCAAGCTGCTCTTCACCTGTTGGTTTCCAAGACGGGCACGCATTGATGGGTACCTCCCTCGGGGTCCTGCCACCGCCTTTGCCTCCACGTGTTTCCAGCGAGGACCCTCCGGCAACAGGGCACGTCTAAGCACAGAATTTGAATAATGCATCATAGAGTCACAAACTGTAATCTACAGTGCATAATATACCGTTGAATTATAAATTGTTCATCTTTGTTAGTAAGACCATTTCTATTTCATAGAATTGGGAAGAAATGTAGTGCAGATTTCAGGACTGAAAATTGGAAATCAGAGGTGGGTTCCAGGTTTAACTGTGCTTTGAGTTAATCATATGAACCAAGTCGAGTTTCCTTGTGTTTGCTCCCCACGGTGTACTGTTTTCACTCGTACCTGCTGGTAAAGAAGGGCTAATGAGATGCAGGAGCAGGTCCGTCTCGGTCTGGATTTTGTGCTCGGCGAGCAAGACAGCATACATTTCTCCTAGGCCTTTATCTTTCCTTGTGAGAACAGGGTCGTTAAATTTTAAATATCCTTCAAGGTTTTATACATAAGAATCCTCAAGTTGGTGTGTGTATTTGAAAACATGACACACTGTGGCCCTTGTCACAGTTTAACCCAGCCGGCGCTCTCCTTTTACTTTTAAGTTCATCTCCAGTTGCACATGAGAGTCCGGGAAAGATCATGAACTATTTGCAGCCTCTCTTGGCAGGTCTCCGGGGATGTGTCCACTGGAGTCGGATTACAGAACCTGGAACCGCGTTAGAGGTGAAGGGCTCCCTTCAGAGAACTTCTTTAGAGCTCTCTTCCCTCATCATTAAGAACCAGTCCAGCCTCACAGCCACTTCACATTCCTGCTGAATGTAGCCCATTTGTGAAGCACCCTACACTGAAGTATCTTTGAATTGATTTTGAGTTTATTGAGAATTTCTAACAGAATTAGCACATCTTTTCTGCAGTGTTCATGCTACAACACATCCAATGACAGCAAATTCACAGATGTTATTTTATAACATAGAATCTGTAATGGGTTCAGAGTAAACAAAACAGAAGCCACTCGTTCATATCTAATGGGAATATGCTGTTTGTTTTCTCTTAATTGCCCACTTTGTTACTTTTAATTCATTAAATTTTCCATACAAGGGATGAAGTGTTTATGGTTTTTCAATGAATATTTATGAAAACTCAGGGTCCAAAACCCACAAGTGTTTGTTCAGACTCATAAAAAAGAGTTTATAAATATTTCATCAAAAACTGAGATCACAAAATGAAACACTTTGTAATCCTTTCAAGAGGCACAATGAAGAATGTCCAGGAATTAAATAAAACCCGTGCCTAGGTTGGGACGCACTAGTATTTTTTCCCTTCAGAACAGAGATGGCAAATGCCCACTCGGGACCAGCGGTGTTTTAGATCCCACCCAGCATCTTAGCAACACTGACTGCTCAACAGCCCATAAACACGTCAAAAACCACCCACAAGTTGAGGGGGAAGAAAAAGTTCCAATCTTGAGTTCACAGACGAGCACTAGCAAATCCTGAAGCAATACTGGGGAAGTCGTATTGTGATGCAGGAAGTGGAGATCACGTGTCACCGTCAGATGACGGGCTAGGAGGGAAGCCAGCCTTCCAGCACGCGGCCCAGCCCAGCAGCTGCGTGCAGACTGCCTGCTCTGTGCCAGGCGCCGCGCTGCTATTTTTGCTTCCAAGAATCCCGTGGTCTCGGGAGGAATCCTGAGGCCAACAGGGTGTGTCTTCTCTGTCCACAATAGAACGGAAAGCAGGGGCTGAAGTCGCCACGGCATTTCCGGCAGACGGCGGGTGTTTGTCACCCTTGGACATTAGTTCTCCCGTGGACGCTGTCCTACGCGCCTGACGAACGCCAGTCTCCGGCCCGTAGGAGCTCTGTCCGCCCAGAGCGCTGGGCTGCCTCCTGCAGGGGCGGTGTCACTAGCCTACTCGGCCTCCTCCAAACGCCCCTTCTGAGGGCTGCTTGCCTGCGGCCCCCCGCTCAGCCCAGCGAGGGGTCCTCGCTCTCGAATCAGCCACCCCGGTCACGATCCACGTTCTGGGCCACGTGCCGGCCACTCGGCGTGCATGTGGGCGTGGCGGTGGCCCCTCCCTGCAGCCTTTACTCCGGGGACGCAGGTAACAGGGAATTAAAACACAAATATACGTACAAATACATCTCTTCCCTCTTCTCCGCCTGCGCCCGTGTGTATGTGCACACACGTGGATGTGTGTGACGCAGCTGTATGGGCCGCGCGTTCAAAGCACCGTAACTACTTACACCGCAAGTATCTCAGATGGGGGCGCACAGAACGTGCAGATGACTTGAAGGAAGTTAAGAAAAGAGAAACAGAACAAGAACCAGAGGAAACAAGGATAAAACACATAAAAAAATGTCTGACTTCCCCCAAGTTTTTGAGATTTAGGGTTGGCAGAGTTCTTAGAAAGGCAATTTAGAGCATAGTCTGACAAACACATTTGATAAACTGGACTGCATCAGAACGCAGAGCCTTGGCTCCGTGTGACACTCTGCCTGGACGGGTGGAAAAGAAAGCCGCCGTCGGGAAGGCGAGGTTATGGCCACGGAAAGCGGCCGCGCGCGCAAGGCGGGGAGCGAAAGGCCGTTCACGCCACTCGCCCCTAGACAAACGCAAACTGAACCCACAGTGAGATGCCACCACGCGTACAAAACGTCTACAACAAGAACCGGAAAAGTGAGAAAACAAGGAAACAGGACACCCGCCCCAGCTGTGGGCGGGGCCATTAATGGTAAAAATAGTTGGGCAGTTTTTTAAAACCCAGAACACGGCACCAGCGTCTGGACCAGCAATCGCACTGCTAAACGTCCGTTTCACATCTAGGGATGTGGATCTGTTTATCCTGAAAATCGCTTTTAATTTCACAGAAGCCCCGGCCTGGATTCGCGGGGCCGGAAGGGGCGAAGGC